CATACAAACCAACTCCTGGCAATCTTTTCTGCCACAGCTCCAATGGCTAATGGTTAACTCTATGGGCTTTCATGTGGGAGATCAGGTTTCAAAACCCAGTTACAGCAACTTTAACTAAAATTCTCTTTAAACTTCATATTGTCACACAATTATCCTCATTACAAACACCTGCTGACTTGACAGGCACAAGCTGGTAGAAAACACAACTGAACTTGGTCACCATTCATTCTGCAGGTAAAGCCATGCTGCAATGACATGCTACACGGCAATGCACACTTGTTTTTACATCGTAAAAACCCATGTCTAGTCAGATATTCAGTTCTGCTTTCTACTGAAGTGGCAAAAAAAAAAAAAAACACTTCACCTTGTTCACCAAGTAAATTTTAATCTACATTGAATAAAACTAGAGAATTTGCCTTTTCTGTAAAGATGCAGCATGATTAATGCTGAACAATTTACACAGACAAAATTTACACTAAGTTTGCACTTTGTTGTACAATATCCCAAAAAAAATGAAATTAGCAAAAAAAAGTTGCTAAAATGAAGCTGACAAAGTTGAATCTAGCACAAAGCAAAATAGCACATTTGCTGAATTAAGTAGCTAAAAATAGCTAAAAATATAACAGAAAATGTGAATGTAGCTGAAGAAGGCTAAAATTAACTACTTTGAAAAGTAGTTTAATTACAGAAAACCGCTTAAACAAAAAAAGCTTAAATTAGCAGAAGGAAGATGATGAAAGCACAAAATATTAAACTAGAATAGATGAAAAGAGCAGAGATGGCTGAACATGCAAAAAGAGCTAAAATTAGCACAAAAAGAAACTAAAGGAAGCTAAAATTATCACAATGAACAGAAAGAGCACATTTGCTGAATTAAGCGGCTGAAAAAAGTTGCATCTAGCGCAAAACAAAATAGCACATTTGCTGAATTAGGTAGCTAAAAAGGAGCTAAAATTATCACAGAAAAGGTGAATATAGCTGAAAAGGTTAAAATTAGCTAAAATAGCTTTAAAAAGTAGCTTAAGCAAAAACGCTTCAGTTAAAATAAAAACTAAAATAAATGAAAAGTGCAGAGATGGCGAACAAGCAAAAAAAAAGAAAGAAAAAAGAGCTAAGGTAAGCTACAGAAAGAATTGAGTCTGTACCAGATCCAACAGTGTAGGAAAGGTTTAAATATTTTAAAGGATTTCAAGGATGTTGAAGACAAATCTATTAATTTTCATTGAGATAAAAAATGGCCTAAAAGGGTGTCGATGTCAAAAAATATAAATTACCCAAAAATTGTGAAACAAGAAACGTGCTGAAGAAAAATGGACCATCTCAATAATGTGAATGCATCTTGTTTTACACAAACACATTGTCCATCTATTCACTGTTAGTTTCTCCACTGAGCACAAAAACAGCCAAAAGATTTACTATGAACACTTTTATTAAAGAGATCACAGATAGAAAAGGTCCTCAGCAGCACCAGACGTTTCTCCACCATCGCCGACTACTGCTGACAACCARTCAGGCGTTCTGAGACAGGTGCAATATTTCAACTTGGCAAAAGTAAAACATTTTAAAAACAATAATTATTTTAAAACAAGATGCATATAATGGGACTGTGAGGCTTCGCACACTGCAAGTTAAAGCACACCAATAAACAGCAGTGCTGCTTGTTTCTACCGTGGCAGAGACACAGCAAGAATTAAAGGTGAACGCATGAGCGAACAATCACATTTTTTTTAATGTTTTATGCAAATAAAAGCAAGCAGATTACACCGAGCTCAAAATATAAACAGTCTGACAGGATCTRGTAGTGTTAAAACCCGTTCACTGAAACGTTTTACTGCTGCAAAGACACGAAAAACCCTGTCAGCTGGTCAGAAAGTGATCCTGTCTCAGTTGAGCTACAGCAGTGGTGGATGAGGTCATTTCCTACAAGACAGCAAACATGTCAGATGTGAAGGATTCACTGAATTGCAAACACTTAGAATGGAAAAACAAGAAAATCTGAGTACTTAAAAAAACACACAGTTTGACACTCATGTTTTCTTAACAATGAAGTATTTCATCAAGTGGGAATTTGTTGCTAGAAGTTCTTAAAATAAACTACCTTTATGCTTTATATTTCTGCTCGACGTCTTAAAAAGCCCACTGCGTCTAATGTGGCACACGTTATTCATGTCCACGTGGTCTACAATACACCGGAGGCTATCTACAGTCAGCTGATCATAATACAGTGTGAGGTGGTGTTCAGGTGTCGTACAGCTGCACCTGTTGTTAGGAGAAATGTGAGGAGCGGAGTCTCAAGGTTTCAAACTGAAAATAAAAGTTTTTATTCGTTCTGACGAACTCCATACAAAAAATAATAATAAATAGATACGTTTCCTGATGTGGTAACCAAATTTAGAATGACCATATAATGAGAGGAAAGGTTGAGTGATCCATGTGTCAAACTTAAAAAAAAATAACACAAAAGCATCACAAAACAAAGAAAGGACAGCTCGTCTGTCAGTGTCTGAGTAGGTCCATTTCCTATTATGTAACTGATACTTCAAGTACTTTATTTAAATTGCTGTACTGTTTCTCTGCATGACGTAAAGAGTACTGTTTGAACTATACAAAATACTTTGCAGTCTGAGTGAGTTTGCTGGAGGCGAGGATGAAATGGACAAAGAAATGAGGAGACGTGGAGCTTAACACCAAACTGATGCTTCATTTACCAGGAGTTCCCACTGATGTGAGGTTTGAGAGGGGAAAGTCAGAGTGAGGCAGTGTGAAGGATGAAGCAGTGTCCTATCGGTCCATTTCGTCCAGCAGGGGCGTGGCGTCTCCGGCGAGCGACATGGGTGTGCTCTCGATCATGGGGCTGGGCGACGGTCGCGGCGTCATCCTCTGGGTTTTCTTTCGGCCCTCGGCTTCTTTCTCTTTTAGCCACTGCTCGGCCATCTTCCCCCAGTCCACGGCAGAGGAGCTGCTGTTGCTGCTGCTCGGCCTGCAGGGGACAAAGAGTTTTATTTAACAGCGTTCAGGGAAACCAAACATSAATATGGTGCTATTTTAGACTTTAGTTTTATAGAGTGACTACCACCTGGTGGATGAGTAATGTCAAAATAAAATAAATAAAATAAAATAAAACGTCTTTGCTTACTTTGGCTGTGGCTGCTGTGGTGTCTGTTGTTGTGGCGTTCGTCCTCTGGATGAGGTAGAGGATGATGGGGTGCCGGACGAGTGACCRTGAAGACTGCTGTGGGCACTGTGATGGCTGTGATGTGGCAGGTGTGGGTGGGCGTGAGCGTGTGAAGACTGGGGGGTGGAGCCTGGATACTGYGGCGTGCCCAGGGCCTGTTGGCTTGGTGTGGTGAAGGAGTAGCTGGGTGTCATCATGGGCGTGGCCATGGGCTGCTGAGGTGTGGCAAACACCTGTGAAGAACAACAGAAGRGTTAAAGTGGACACATGTTTTTAAACCCTTCTATATATGGTTTATATAAAATGGAACTGCAATGTGTTGGTCTGAATTCCTCATCATTGTAACTCCACAAGCCCCTCTTTTCTGAGGTGCATCTCAGATCAACTCGTTTTGAGTTTGTCTCATTGAATCCAAACAAGGTGCTTCACTCTGACACAACAAAACGTATTTAATGACTAAAAAGCTGGGTTTTGCAAATGTCCACTTTTAAAGGGATCCCTGATTAGTTGTAACATTAGACTTTTTTTGATAAACATATATTTTAACTGTAAAATAAAGACAGTAAAAA